CCAAATACTTAAGCATTTTTTAAAACTCGTATTATTAAATTAAAAAGCACACACACATAAACACACCTAAATCCGTATATTATCACGGCATTTAAATATGGCGATATTTAAAACGCCACATTCTTCCATCTAATCCTAATTGTGTTCTATTGGCAAGTGAAATTCCTATTTATTTTCTTCTAACAAAGCCAACGGAGTAAATGTAAATATTTGAAACCAACGGAATCCGACCGAGTATTGTAGTAGTTAAACCTTCATTTAACATTTTGTAGGTTTAGGACCAATGCCATGGACAATTAATTCCGAGATTTATCCCCTTTGGGCCAGGAGCACCTGTGTATCAATAGCCACTGTGACCAACTGGGTCTTCAACTTGATTGTATCTCTGACCTTCCTGACCTTGACGGAAACCATTACAAAATATGGTGAGTAATCTTTTATTGAGAAAAAATAAGAAATGTTCAATGAAGCTAAAACACAGTAATACGTCTAAACTATGTTGAAATTAATTTCGTTCCTTATTGAAAATAACAGAACCATTTTTCTCACAATAATTCTTAATGCAGACAGTTAATACGGCACTTCATACTTACTTGCTCAGATATAAATCCCATATTTAAACTACCAAAAAGTTGCATACTGGTTCTTCTTACAAGAATTTTTATTAGGACATTGACGGAGAAAACCATGTCTTTAGAGACAATTACTGTGAATTCAAACCTGGAATTGTATTACGGTGATTCAATAAAAGACTGTTGTTACAACAACATGATACAAGTTGTCACGATCAATTTTGATTTAATTTAGATTTCAACTGAAGTTTATTCAGAACTTTTATTATTATAACTTGTGTCTGTAATTCTATGATTATTTTGGGACTTTCTCGCAATACCGTAAGTTACATTTAACACTTCCACTTTGTATTCAAAGGAAATAAATTATGTTAAATTTTACAAAGCTTGTTGCTTTTCACTCTTTTATGTTACCTATTTTAAAAGCATAGACTCGTAACAAAAAATTGGAGGTTTGTCCTTGTGATACCAATCTCTCTAAATATATTTCTGAAAACTTTGTTTCTGAAATTTAAATTCACATTGTTTTTGAATTTCCTAAGTTCCATGTATTATTCCACATTTTAGAAATATTATGTGAAACCAGCAAGCTTTTACGATGTCACCTGATTGGAGGTCTGTATTTCAAATCCTACCCAGGAGAAGTTAGAGGATAAATTACTCCAGCTTGCCAAAAATATGATCTTTCTAGGCAAAGGCTTCTTGGCTGAAGCAGAAAATAAGAAATATTTTTGTCCAACATTTGGTAGAAAAAAATGTTTTCCTTAAAAAGTGCTTTGGATTTCGTTAGTAAGTCCTTATCTGGCTCTAACTTGCAGATTATGGAATTGTAAATAAGATACAAGATAGAAGCAGAGTTAATGAAGCTTTGGCTTCTTAAGAAAGACATTCCCCGTTATAGAAAGAAGAAAAATGAATGCAGTTGGAGAAAGTGGAAAGAGACAAATATAATTACAGTTATAGAAAGAGGGCAAAAAGAGGAAAAAAAGAAAGATTAATGCAAAAAAGAGGAAATCTGAAAAAGAAGATAAAGAATAACAGAGAAAGAGAAAGGCAGAAAGGGAATTTCAATTTATAAAAGAATTAGAGCTGGAAAGCGAAAAATATATTCTCACTTTACATCAAATTAAAGATTTGATATTGCCAGGAATATCAGTTTAGTACACCCTTTTAAGGAAAAAGAGTTAGTTAAATATTCACCTCATTTTGAAAAAAAAAATGCTGAAAGTTTGAAGTGTATAAGAGCACTGGACGCTGTTATTACAGTGTGCACATTTTGTCAAATCTAGTGACATCTACACGTCCTTGTCAGTACAGCAAAGTGCTGATTATGATATAGTTGAGAAATGCATTTCAATGGTTATGAGTTTGTACCTGTGGCTTTTTGACAAAAGTCTAAGAAATATAAAATAATTAGAACAAACTCAAGTTAAAATTTGCAAAAAAAATGAGCAGTTATTTGATTGGTGGTGTTTAGAAAAGAAAGTTGGTCAAAACTTCAAAAATCTCTGACAACTCATGTTAGTTGAAGAGTTCAAGAACTGCGTCCACAGTGAAAATTCTGCTGGTACAGATGACGAGTATTCTTTAGCTTACAAAGTTTCTTTTGCTAGTAGGTCATCTACACAGCAGTCTTCTGGTAAAAAACTACTTTAGTCTATTACGAGCACTTCCAAACCCCAAACTGGTACAACATTTACACATGAAGTTTCTGATACGACTGATTATAAGTCATTATCTCTTCCTATGGCAAGAAGAATGGGAGCGTTATTTCTGATTGCTACAGATTGAAAAATAAGTAACAGAATCATGACAGACCTTTTCCAGAAACTCTTATTTCTAAGGGGTATAGGTCACGGTCATGTATTACAAGTTATACATGTGTGGGGTCAAATAATTTTCAGTCTGAATGTATTATGGAATATTATGAACTATACATGTGGAACAGTTCTAGATCACTGATAAGTGATCCTGCTAATCATATCCTTATTATAATTATAAGGTACACATGAGTTTTTCTGAGTCTTTTATCATCAGGCACTTTGCCTTTATCTTAGACGCCTTCTTCTAATGAGAGCGTTCATTTTCAGGGAGTAGAATGCGGCTTGTTTATGTTCTTCTCCATTATGTAAATTTGTCATCAAACTTAGTCTCATGACCCGTGACAGTCGGAACTGTGTTATCTTTACCAATTGGGGAATTCATTTATTACTAGGCAATCCACTTGTAACTCATAAACCTTCTTTGGATCACAAAGTCGTTACTATTGAAAATGAAATCCCTGATTTATACCCAGCAAACTTTTGATGAGGTCACTTTTACTCTTCGTTTGGATCAATCAAAAGAAATTGATAACAGTGATATTCGTTTAACTACTCTTTCTTTTTTTTTCCTAAGCAGGTTTCAAACGACTATCTTTTGTCGTCAAACAGGAAAAAGATCCTGAGATCTCATGTTTCGTTCAGACGGCCATTAACGAAAATGAAGCCACAGAAGTATATGTTTGTTATTTTATTTAAAAATGGGGTCCTTTTAAGGAAATGAAGATCAACTAGGTACCTGCTGGTGGAGAGTAGTCGGTGAGCTATCAAACTGTAGTTCCAAAATCCTATAAACAGGAAATTTTTCATTTGGCTGGTCACTGAAGGGTCAGTAAGATGTATTACAAGATGTTGAACCACTTATATTGGCCAAAAATTAAGAGTGATGTTTGTAAATACTGCAGATCTTGTTACAATTGTCAAATGGTAGGAAAACCCAATCATAAGATATCTAAGGCTCATATGCAACATATTTCTTCATTGCGCGAACCGTTTAGCAGTTTCATGGTGACTGTGTCAGCCCCTTACTTAAGACCTAGTCAGGCAACCATGATATGTCCGTCTACAACATTCCATTCGGCAATTCCTTTGAGGAATATTAAAACTGAAACAATAGTAAACTCTTTCATAACGTTTTCATTCAGTTTGGTCTGTCCAAATCTGTCCATTCTGATCAAAGATCAACATGTATGTCTGGAATTTTCCATCAAGTTATGCATGAGTTAGTCATCCAACAATTAAAGTCATCTATCTATCACCCTGAAAACCAAAGAGCTTAAGAAGGATTTCATTAAACTGCAAAATCTTGTCGTACTGTTTTGATAAGATTTGGACTAATGGGAATCAGCTTAGGATTCTTTAGAATTTAATCATCCCTTTGTACTAGGTTTTGGACAAACTGTGCGCTGACCATTAAATTGATAAAGATACATTTCTTTCAAATGAAGATAAAGAAATTATTCTTCTCGATTATGTTTCAAAACATTTTTCTCTGGAAACACAGAGTGCTCATACAAAAGAATATTCATGGACAGAGACATTCACTAGCATTTATTGTGAATTTAAACCTGGAATTATATTACTGTGTTGCAACAAAAGACGGTACAGGTCAATCAAAGGTACATCAACAATTTCAGCGTTTCACTTAATTTGAATTTTCACAAATGTTTATTCATGTTTATTATTAGGACTAGTGTTTATATTTCTAGAATAATTTATGCATTATAAACATATTTACCTATGTATTGTACAGTCGTTGAATCTTAATTTTGAGTATTTTAATTCCTTCTATTCAACACTACCGTTTGATGCGCTGTTGAAAAACAAACAGGGGTCAATTGCAATATTTTGAAGGACGAATGCAATCAACATAAATCAAAGTCTTAAATACAAATAAAAGACGATATTGCAGGATGCTTGGTAATTAAAATCTTTCATTTTACAAAAGAGTGAAACTTTTGTCTTAGATCCTTACTTAGACTACTAAGTAACAAGTTCGTTTACTTCCGATCTCTTGTAAATTAAATTCTTAATCAAGAAAGCACGGTTTATAATAGTGTTGAAAATTTGCAGGGTTGTACAAGTAATTTGACAATCTATAAATTTACAGGAAAATCAGTTTTGTCTGAACATTTTTAAGCGCCATGTTTCATTCATAAAACAGGGGCTTTGGGGGTTCAGTTTGTAATAGAAAAACTTTAATAATGAATAGGGCATATGGATGAATACAGAACATGAATCTGCGAACAAGTTATCCTATGAAGACAGCAGTGTTGTATATAAACATGTAGGTTATTTACTCAGGCGCGTTTGGACTATTTATTGATAATATATATCACGATTTAATTTTGTGACAGTGTGTGTGTGTGTGTGTGTGTGTGTGTGTGTGTTGGATTATAACGTAGCTTTAACAGTTTTTCAGTCATATCGCTACAATGTCTTTAGTGTGATATATTTTATAGTGATATCTTACATTATGTCGCAGACATGTATCATCATGTCTCGCCCAGTCACATTATCTTGATACAATCCGACCAGTCCTAACACTAACCTCTCAATGCTGAGCGCCAGACGAGGCAGCAGCTATTATTTTTTTATGTCTTTGGTATGACTCGGCCGGAGTTCGAACCCACGACCTCCCACATCCGAGGCTGACGTTTTAACCTCTAGACCACCAAAGCGGTTAATTTTGTAACAAAAAAATCAGAACAGTAACTGTTTCATCTAATTCATGTTGCCAGTAGAATATTTAAATAACAAACGATAACATGTTAACAATTCATAATTTAAATAAGTTGTCATTCTTTAAATTCACAAAAAATGGGTTCTTTCTGAACTCACTTAAGCACGTTATTTCATTCATAAAATCTAGGCTTCCGAAATTCATTTTGTAAGAGAAAACTATTATAATTCATAAGCAATATTTTAATCGGCTGAACAGAATATGGGACAAAATACAATGCACAGGTAGAAAATAAGGGGGCAAATATTGTGCACGGAGAAAGAATATGGGATAAATACAGCCAGGGCCGACAAGAGGGGGACGAATTACCGGGGATATATCCCCATGCCCGGACCCGTAAAAGGGTCTGGGCCGAACAACACTTTTTAATTTTATAAAAGAAAATTTTTGTTTAAACAAGAACTAGGAGAGGCCCGGGTATTTTTTATCCCAGGGCTCATGATCGCTGTATACGGCTCTGAATACAGCGCACAAAAAATAGAATATGGAACAAATTAAACGCACGAGATCTGAGAACAAATGATTTTCTTAAGAAGACTTGGTTGGTTTTGTTCGTTTAACGACATTTTTTCAGCAATGGATAAGCTATACATGGCGGCCAATATATTTAGTAGAGAAATAACACAGGAAATCCCATGAGGAATCACCGACCCGCAGGAAGCTACTGGCAAGCTTTCTCACATACCCACGCTGGCCTAAAACGAGACTCAAGCCCACGCGAACAGAAGTGAGATGTGATTGACCTGTACAGACGAGTGCCGTCGCCTCTAATGGAATGGGTGCCTTAAGAGGACTGCAGCTGTTTCATTATATATGAGATTTTCACAGTGTAATGTTGCAATAAATACAATTCACTGTTTATTTTTCTTTGTTTCATTTGTAGCAATTAGTTTCTGTATAGTGTTTACTTGGCCAGTATGCATATACTTTAACTAGTATGTTTTATAATGTTTGACTGAACAAGAGTTCTTCTGAATTTCAACTATCTGATTACACTAATGCTTGAACCAGAACCAATTAGCATCTGTCTGGCCAATTAACAATTAAATGCTGAAAATTTGCTTGCTTTTTTCAGCAATCATAATAAAGTTATCATAATAATTGGATATTCTTGTATAACATCATTATTTGCAGATGATGGGGTGGATATGTATGTATGTATGTATATATATATATATATATATATATATATATATATATATATATATATATATATATATATATATATATATATATATATATATATATATATATCTGAATGTATGTATGTATTGTGTGTGTGTGTGTGTGTGTGTGAAAAAATCAGTTACCTAAAACAAATATATCATGGATAATAAAATCGAACATATACTTCTTCTTAACTTGGAAAATATATTTGATTCTGTTTTCATTAAGTGTTGCGCAGAGTGTTTTCTCCATTTATAACCTTGGTCCTATGATGCAAAATTGGAATGAAACAGTTAAAGAAATATTTCGTCAGTATTGATACAAAATGGATTACTTCTTAATTTTTCTAAAACAACAAGTGGTTAAAGCCAAGATGATCCAGTCACTCCCCACTGTTTTTATGTGCCGCAATCTTTGTAATTTTGTTGAAAAAATAGAAGATAGGAAATGAAATCAATTTTGAAAATGAAGTGTATTAATATAATAATCTGTGGACGATATAGCATTAATTCCCAATGGTTCTTACTCTTATACTTGAACAGCATTGCAAGTTTTGGAATATTCTACAATACGTGTATTTTCTGGTCTCAAATTAAATAGAACTAAAGGTTAACCTGTATTTGGCGTAGAAATTTCAATATTAACGTATTTCATCAAAGGCTTTAACTACAATGGATAACATAATTTACATTATTTTGAAGTAAATTAATTAAACTTGGAAACTTAACAAGGAGAGTAAATTGCAGCAAGTAAAGATTTTTCGATGTGTGTGGTCGATGAAAAGCCACACAACCATTTCAGAAACAATTGTGTTTCAATCTTCGGTGATTCATTTCCTGAACCATTCATTTATTTCCTTCTGAAATCAACCTATAAAATAATAACTAAATAAAACTATATTGGAAAGAAATACTGACTCATATTAATGTCTTTGACCATGAAGTGTATAAGCCAAGTAGTTTGCAATAGCATTGCCATCGTCTAATATCTCTAAATCCTAATTAATTTCCAACAGTCACAGCCAGTCTAAATAAAAGAATCATTTCACTTTTCGGTGATTTACTTCATAAATATGTGTGCCGATTGAAAAGAAATTGAAATCCTGTATTTTCTTTTTTAATAATGTAAGTTACAACAGAGTGATATCACTACAACCAGCATCCAAGAAAAGTGCGTAGAAAAGCGTGTAGATTTATCGTTAGAAATACATCCAGCAAAAGCGAGTCCAAAGGGTGTAGATTTATCGTTAGAATTACATCCAACAAAAGCGAGTACAACGTGTAGATTTATCGTTAGAATTGCATCCAACAAAAACCCAAAGCGGGCAGATTTATCGTTAGAATTACATCCAACAATATCAAGTCCAAATCAATTAGATTTATTGTTAGAATTACATCCAACAAAAGCCAGTCCAAAGCATGTAGATTTATCGTTAGAATTACATCAAACAAAAGCGAGTCCAAGCGTGTAGATTTATCGTTATAATTGCATCCAACAAAAACGAGTCCAAAGCGTGCAGATTTATCGTTAGAATTACATCCAACAATAGCAAGTCCGAAGCAATTAGATTTATCGTTAGAATTACATCCAACAACAGCGAGTCCAAAGCGTGTAGATCTATCGCTAGAATTACATCCAATAAAATCTAGTCCGAAGCGTGTAGATTTAAAGCTCGTCCAGAGCATAAAAATGTGTCGTTCAATCTTTGTGCAGTGAATACTTTTTTTAGAATCTATCCTTTTTGTTTATTATTCTTTACCTAAAATAATAATAATCAGAGACGATAAAGTAATTAAATGGACGGTTCAACTCGGAAATCACATGCTAACTATTGCTAGATCGCGCTGCAGTTGGTGCCAACTGTCACCGACTTTGAGGTACATGATCTATCTGTGGTTATTTCGTCAAAAACCTAGACCTTTCTCTCCCGCTGTTTTAATATTTACATTTGAGTCATTCCAGTGCAGTAAATATTTATTTTTTTCTTGTATTCTTATGTATGAGGGCTCCAAAAGATAATGCTCTTGGACAAATGTAATCACTTATTATTATTATTATTATTATTATTATTATTATTATTATTATTATTATTATTATTATTATTATTATTATTATTATTATTATTATTATAGGTACATTCTGGCTTTTCTGCGGAATCAGCTTACTTGGATTCATCTGGCTCTTCTTCGTGCTTCCTGAGACTAAGAACAAAACCCTGGAGGAAGTGGAGGAACTCTTTATGTCTGAAGAGTACAGAAACGCGCATAAGCGGGACAATTTTCACGATGTAACCAAAGACACAAAAGAACAGGCTCATTCTCCTTACGATGAGATCACAGAGCCAGTTAAGCAAGACAATCAATACGATGTTATCTCGAGTGCAAATGATACAAGGTTTTAATGCAAGTTGAAATTTCAATGTTTTATACCATTTGGCAATGAACACACACACGCGCACACACACACACACACAGTTACTCTGGAAGAATATCTGTATTTTAGTACAAACGTAACACATTTACAGTGAAAATGGTATGTTTTGTTAATAATTTTTAAGTTCTATTTCGGAAGTATACACATTATTTGGGTTGTATTTTGCTTATAGTTTTGAATGGCAGTTATTTGTAGTTTATTCCAATTTTGAAATAAATTAATTATGTCATGCTAACCAATTAAACTTGCCATTTATGTATGCACCAACGTGCATTTTTAATTATAAAAATTGGTATAATTTAGCCTAGAATCTTTTTCACAAATTATTGCTTGTAGAGTGCTTAAAATAAAACAAGTTTTTGATTACTCGATGCATAGGTTAAAAAAAATTCCGTTTCCACTATTAATTAATACTATATGTCAGTCATTCTTTACTGTTTTAGTACAAAACATGATTTATCAATTTGTTTTAATCTAGTAAAGTTTAGTATTATAACAAATGTCCTTCAACAAATAGAAACGAGGCATTATTATATGCGTATTCTTGCATATTCATTTGAAACAAATTTTGAGTGTGTGGATGACAATGTTTGTCTCGCCTTTTTCTTTCAAAAAATGCCTTCCATTGCTAGCAAGATGTCGTTCATCTTTGTCATTGGCAGCGGTACTTTTTGTTTATTCTGTCATTAATCATTTTAGTATTGTCGTCAAGACAGTACACGAATCGAGGAAGAAAACAATGTTAATTTCTTTGAAGAGACATGACAATATAATAATTAGTGTCAAATCAATTTTATATTATTAGGTTATTTTATTGATTTCATCATTGGTGACAGGGAATACTAGTGCATATTGCGTACAAGTTTTATAATTTTGTATAAAATACAATGTTAGCATATCTACTATGAAACCATTTTCATTGCATATAAATCAATAAATTTTAATAAAAATTTTGTTTCTCATTTTATATTGACAATGCAGTTCATTCTTTTATACATATTCATATTGGAATCGAAAATAAAAATTGGCGGGCAGATGTTGCTATCAGTATGCTTCGTCTGTCAGGCTTATGGATCTTCAACAAATGTTTGGAAGACAATAGAGCTTCCTTATATTTGGCCATAGTACACAATTAATTTCACTATATTGTCTCTACATTTGTATCTCAGTACTGAACTTTCCACTGTGTGACAATCAATACAAATCATATGTTAATCTAAAATACCTTCAAAGATGACTTTACGGTTTAGTTCTTGTCAAGGGTTGACCTGCATTTTTTTTGAGAGGCTGAATTGTAAACAAAACACCAGGCAACGGAACACAGATTTCACTTCCGGA